AAGTTTCTCTGAATATTAATGAGAAAACTCAGGTCGACTGTTGCATTCCCAAAACTGCACAGAATTTTAAGGTCAGAAATCACATGACACTAATTTATAGTCCAACAGGTTTATTTGAAAACACAAGCTTTAAGAGCGTAGCCCCTTCGTTACCTGACAAAGGGGCTACACTCCAGAAGCTTGTGTTTTCAAATAAACCCTGTTGGACTATAACTTGGTGTCATGTGATTTTCTGACCTTGTCCACCCCAGTCCAACACCAGCACTTCCACATCATGGCTACCATCGACACCACCAACTGCAGGTTTTTAAAGATACATGTGTTTTGACCATATGCTGTCGATGTACACTTTAATGACGATCAAACATAAAGCCCCTTGCAAAAGGGTAGCTACTCTTTGTGATTTAGTTAAATGTTGTTTCTACAATAATAGTTCACACTGAATGCATTTTCTGTGAAAGTAATGCTACCATAGTGTTACCAGACCATACTGTTGCTCTCTTGTTAGACAGATGATTTAACCTGAGGGTCATTGCATATCAGACAAGGGGAAGAGATTGAGAAGTACAGTCTTTCATGGTAAACACAGCCAGTGTGGGAATTGAACCCACACTTTTTGTGGTAACCTGCATCCCACACTTGCTGTATAGCCAACTGAGCTATGTGACCCCCATAGTAATTTGTTATGGAATACCGATACAAATTTTATGCCTCTTATCATTGTCTGTTAAGGGTATGGAAATATTTAAGGCTGTTTAAACTGTCTGAAATGAGAAAACATGTTAAAGATTGCTTAATCCTGCTATATTGGCTTACATATTTTTAAAAACAAATTGCAAAAAATCTTATTTTTCTTCCAAAATTGGACCTCTCATTCCATTTTAAGAAATTAAAGTCAGTTAGTTAATTGCAAAATGTGTTCTCCCACAATGCTATCCATTAGAAGTGTAAGCAGCAGCTGGAAATAGTTTTGAGAGTCTGGGAGCTCTCCCATGAACCTGCTGTCTTTAGAATTTCAACAGAAACTTTAATCCCAAACTAATTGGTATGTCAAGATTAACAGATGGTCAAGCATTCAAAAATAGTCAATTGGAAAGTTATCAACACTTTTTGTCTGCCATTGTATTTACATGGAATATCTAAAGTGAAGGGAGAATAAGCCGCACATTAGAAATGAATTATATTTTGCAGAAATAAATATGACTCAGTTCTGAATTTTATGGTGTTTCCTTCAAACTAACTGTGGCAGGAAGCTACCCAGGTTCAATTCAAAGGCGCAAAAAACAGCCTCCATCGCTTCAGCAGATGACCAGTCTAACCCCAACATAAAAGCAAAGTACTGCGCGTACTGGAGATTTGAAATAAAATCAGAAAGTGCTGGAGAAACTCAGCAGCAGTGGCAGCATCTTTACAGAGAGAAACAAAGTTAATGTTTTGAGTCCAAAATGAGTTTTTAAAGCTTGGCAGTTTGCAATTACTTTAATGGCAATTCAAAGGGGATCTAGTCCATAATAAACAACTGCGATACACATATACCATAGTTTTAAAGGAACATTGTTATCAATCTGATCTTAAAATGCCTTTCTCTTTTGAAATAGGTTGGTGACTGAGTTTATTGAAGATGGTGAGGAGATTTGCCAGTCACTTGAATGTGAGTTGAAGCAACAGTGGGATGCACAACTTGACGATCATTTGATGAAAACAAAATCTTCTCCCAAATGTTCTATATTATATGTGGCAAAATGCGAGGATGTAGGATCTATCCAATTGCAGACTGGGAACTTGCAAATAAAGCCCAGTGTAAAGATGAGCATAACTCATTTTTAAAATTAAGTCTCCAAGGACAATCTCAGCTGAAATATCCGTCCCTGAAACACTACACACGGCCTGTTAGTTTATATCCTTTGTATGTCCTTTTTTAAACTCCTTAATCTGTTCCTTGGAGAAAACAAAAGTCAGAAACTTGAAAGTTTCACTCAAAGCTGTGGTTTATCAGTTTTTTTTACATTGCATGGAGGATCCACTTGATGACAAAGTTGCACGTTCTCTTCTTTTTCTAAAAAAAACTTGCCTTCTGAGGCCAAACAGAGCCCTCTTGTGGAACTGAATCTACAATGTTTCCAGAATGGAGCCCTACTGTACTACTGAGCCACACAAACTGAATAGGGTTAAGACTTGCTATTTTTATGACCTACACATTGTAATGAGAAACAAGAGAAATTGTAGTCAATTCTTATTTTAAAAAATGTTTTAATTCAACAACAAACACCAGACAGACAGTTCTGAATTTTCACAGTAAAAGTTCAACTGGTGATTAAAGGAGAGCCGCAATTAATTAATTTTTAAAAAAATAAAATCCTATTTTTGAAACCCTCTGAAGGTATTAGCATAAATCATAGGAAAAGTATTACTTAAAATCTGAACTTTTCTTAGATTCTATGTTAAATCCAGTCAAATTACCATAACATACAAAGTTTTGAAGTGTTAAAGACAAAATCAGCATTATTAGGAAAACAAAATAAATTCTCTAATATGGTCAAAATGGATACAGCTTTCTCAACTGCCCAATTTCTATGTAAATTGTACAATTGTAAAAAAGTTGTAATATATCAAAGCAATAATGTATCTTTTTAAAGATATAACGGAAAATGCATAGTAGCTACCTCCACAAGTACTGTTGCCATGTAGCCGTACCTCATATGCCATTTTCCCTCTTTGTAAAACAGAGGGTTTTTTTAAACTATTTTCAGCTTGGAGTTTCCTATGCATTGACAGTGCACTCCTCTTCTTTGCTAACTCACAGCTAGTTGTCAAGCATGTGACTTCTGCTGAATGTTACAACAGCTGTGTTCCCTCAACCTGAAACTGGCATTTCACGAAGTGCAGATCTGCAATCTGTTTAAACACTTATGTTGAATTCATTGTGTTTTTCACTGTAAAATGCTAACTTGTGAGAAGGGGAAAGAAGGCAGAGAGTCTTTGCTAAACTTATGGACGAGTATGTGCACACATTGCCTATGACAACAGGCATGGCACTTTGGTTGAGCCCTGGGTAGAACTGATGTCACAGGACAATGGTGTGACATCTTGTTGATGGGAGTCAGCACTAAGTGTTTGCTTGAATCCTAAGTGTAGTGAAGATCTATCAGCCGGAGACGTTCAGTTACCCGTCTCTTGCACAGAAGAGGTAATATGAGGTGACACCCAGCATTGGAATGATCTTGACGTTTGTTTTGTTAGTTTGCGGTTCCATGTCTGTCGTGAGGAGGTTCCAGCCAGAGATGCAGACATTGCCAACCTGACATAAGCCTTGAGCTGTGAAGAGATAATTGTGATGGCTACACCACCAGCCCAAAACAAGAATTATGATACAAACCAACTATTAAAAATAGAATTGTACAACATTATAGTCCTGAATCACTGGAAGTGAATTGGGTGGATCCCACAATACCAAAGCAGAATTGTTTCCACTGATTCTGGGAAGTTGTGTTCGTGAGTGTAAACATAACAATTATTTCTTCTTCAAAGAAAATTCTGTTTTTATAGTAGTGGTGACTATAGTGTGAAACTGATGAGATATTCTTTTGAAACGTGAGAATGTTAAAAATCAACCCACATTATCCAGTAAAGGATGGTTGCATTTGGATGACTTGCGGCATTTTTCCAATTGTCTTTAGAGTTATCAGTAGGTTTGATGTTTGGAGAAGCACAATCGTTTAAGAATTGAGTGTATTTTTGTTTGTAATGAATTCAGCTGATTATTCAATCAGCTCGGCAACAGAAGAATTACTGAAATCTATAGTATCACTAATAGCAACCTGGGTTCCACTGACATCACTGTCTAATATGGCTTCTGCAGCTGAATGTGTGGAACAGTACCCAGGGGAAGGGGTTTTGCAAGACAGTTTGGTTAACTCTTACCCTGCAGTGACAGCTATTGTTCTTTTCTGTACACATTGGCACTAGTCATAGTTTGAGCAGCTACACTTGTTTCTCTGTAGCTAGTGTTAGGGATTCTGTCCTGCAATAATAGTGGAGTAGCTTCTACATCAGAGACACCCAGCATTTTAGAGAATTGGTCCCACAATCTCATATAGTCAGTAAGGATGGGATTGAAAATCATGACCTTTGGATTGGAGAATCTGAAAGGGCCACTGCTCATAACGTATTCACAGTAACTACCTTGGTTCTGAGCAAACCCAATAGATTGGAACAAGCTTTCTTCTTCCTTGCTGCAGATTGGCAATTAGAGAAAAGTTAATCCATGCAAGTCATTTTGTATTATTACTAATATGCTTATCTGAAATTTAAAGAAGGGATCTGTCAGGTGTAATAACAGCAAACATCTCCTAATTCTATCCCCCTTTCTTATGCCTGTTTACAGCATTTTAATTCTGGGTGAAAATTGGTTTACATGTTGCTGCGTTTTGCATTTCTGTTTTGATAACTATTTTAGTTTAATTTATTTTGTGTTATTTACCTTTATTTGAACTTTCTGTAAAGTATTGACAAGTGAATGCACTGATTAAAAAAAATCCTTGTGTCATATGTTAGTTGTAGTTATTTGTGATTGGTTATGTTGCAGGATTTTTATTGTATGATTCTTCCAATAAACTGAAGTTTGTTCCTCAGTCATATGGTGATTACTGTACAAGAAAAATGTTGCAGATGCTGGAAATGTGAAATAAAAAAACAAAAGTATTGGAGATAATCAGCAGTACTGGCTTTATCTTAACATTCTTAGTCTAATACAGTGTTTCAGAAATGTGGAAAGTTGATTGATATTGTTATGGACCAGACCAAAACCCCTCAAAATATATTAAGAAGGTAGCCTAGACCCTAACTTTTTCTCATCTTATAGGTCAATGTAATGTGTTGCATTCCAGATGAAATTGGATTGATCAAACTACCAGATTTGAAGGAAAACACACTTTATTCTTATGCTCTAGTTAAAATACAACAAAAGAAAGAATATAGAAAAGAACTGGCTTAGCTGTAACTCTATCAGAAGACTGAACAGAATTATAGATTTGTTAGCTACTAAACAGTAACTGTTCCAATATAGTAATATCCCATAAACACACCCTTGACAAAAGGCAAATTCAGAAAACAGATTGTCTCACATGTAACTCCAGCAGCAGGAAGAGAATCCCCATCTTTTAGCTGTAATCAAGAGAGGGGGACAAAAATAGCTTCCACTTCTTCAAGACCTCAGCAGCAACTGCCATTGTAAAACTAAGAAAATAAAAATCCTGGTTCTGTGAGAGCTTGACCACACCCATTCAGGTTGTTTCTATTGTTCCAACTTAAATAAAAAACCCAAGGCCTCACGCTGTTTACTGCCTTTCCAAATAGACAGCTTGGCACCTCTGTATTGAAACCTCTCTTCAAAAAAAAAGGACAAAATAACCTCTTAAAGCCATAGTATCATCACAGTGTAAAGGGAGAGACTGTCTTGTGAGCAAAGGCTAAAAAGGTATTCTCTCTTTTCACTGGAATTTAGAATAAGAAGCGATCTCATTGAAATATATATTGGATTCTTAAGAGGCTCGTTAGGGTAAAAGCTGAGAGGATGTTTCCCTTCATGCGAGAGTCTATGACCAAACAGTATAGGCTCAATATAAAGGGGCACCGATTTAAGACTGAAATAAGGAAGAATTTCTTCTCTCAGAGGGTTGAGAGTCTTTGGCACTCCTTGCCATGGAGAGCTGTGGGGGCAGAGTTCTTGAATATATTTAAGGCTGAGATAGATTCTTGTTCAGTGAGGGAATCAATGATTATGGGGGAAAGACTGAGGTGAGGAATGTCAGATCAGCCATTATCCTACTGAAAGGCCTACTCCTATTCCTATTTTTTATGGTGTTAAAGACAACAGATAAACTATAGGTAGGAGAAAAGTTGGAAGTAATACTGATGGGAAATATCTAGAAGAACTGCAAACTTTCGGCATTTTTCCACGTTAGTCACATTATTGTTTTATCTTTTTTATCCTCTCATAAATTTATAAGTGCCACCTGACTTGGCTGCATTACTCATCTGTGGTCTTATCACTGTACTGAGTCCACATGGAAGAAGAATTTGTAGTCACAGACCAGTTCCACCGAGGGATTGGAAGCCTTTCTTGTTGTTGGATCTCACTGGCTGGTCACTCCATGTTTTGACAGCCTCACTGGGGTAATCAATGGAAGCCATGCACCAGGGAAATCCAATTATAGAGTCAAAGAGCTGTTTAGCACGGAAACAGACCCTTTGGTCCAACTCATCCTTGCCAACCAGATATCCTAAATAAATCTAGTCCCATTTGCCAGCATTTGGCCCATAGCCCTCTAAACTTTTCCTATTCATATACCTAACTAGATGCCTTTTAAATGTTGTAATCATACCAGCCTCCACCACTTCCTCTGGCAGCTCATTCCATGTACGCACCACCCTCTGTGTAAAAAGGTTGCCCCTTAGGTCCCTTTTATATCTTTCCCCTCTCACCTTAAACCTATGCCCTTTAGTTTTGGACTCCCACACCCCAGGGAAAAGACCTTGCTTATTTACCCTATTCATGCCCCTCATAATTTTATAAACCTCTATAAGGTCACCCTTCAGGTTCCGATGGTCCAGGGAAAATAATCCCAGTCTATTCAGCCTCTCCCAATAGCTCAAACTCTCCAACCCTGGCAACATCCTCGCAAATCTTTGCTGAACCCTTTCAAGTTTCACAACATCCTTCCTATAGCAGGGATACTAGAGTTGCATGCAATACTCCAAAAGTGGCTGAACCAATGTCCTGTACAGCCGCAAGATGACCTCCCAATTCCTATACTCAATGCACTGACCAATAAAGGCAAGCATACCAAACACTTTCTTCACTATCCTATCTACCTACGACTCCACTTTCAAGGAACTATGAACCTGCACTCACAAGGTTTCTTTGTTCAGTAAAACTCCCCAGGACTTTACCATTAAGTGTATAAGTCCTGCCCCGATTTGCCTTTTCAAAATGCAGCACCTCACATTTATCGAAATTAAACTCCATCTGCCACACCTTGGCTCATTGGCCCGTCTGATCAAGGTCCCATTGTACTCCGAGGTAAACTTCTTGTCTGTCCCCTCCACCATGATGCAGACAAAATCCAAAGGGCAGCTGCTCCGAGAGTGGCAGTCTCCAATTCTTGGTCATCTCCATATTACTCTGTTTTTAGTTGCAGATCCTGTATTGCGAGATTGTCCTCTGTCACGTTCCTACCTTTGTTCTCTTTCTTTATCTGTGATTGTCTCAAGCTCAGGGTTCTGCTCTTCCAGTCCAAGATATTTCCTCTCATTTTGTCAGGCTGACTTTCATGCCGTATCGCCAAGTAGAACCATCGCTCTGAGCATGTGGCTACCTACTGGTGTATGGTTGTTTTGCACCCTGCTCTTCTGCACTTTTCTCACCTTCCCACCCTGAAAACTCCCAGGCCAGGAGCCACCAACTCCATTCAAATTTCACTGCCCACTCTCCCTGATTCTGTGAAAAACCAAGGGCATCCCTTTACCATAAGCCCAGATTTCATCCCCTTTCCCTCCACTCCTTTGTCCTGCTGCCCCTCTAAGTGATGACCAGCTGAAGAGAGGCAGGCAAAGTAGGGAGCTGCTGCCTAGGGGCAGATTTTCAAGACACAGGCAACCATTTGGCCTTTTAAAAGTTTAATCCAAATTGTTTGACGAGCATTTAACCAGCTTTTAGACACATTTCATTGACTGAATTTGGAAGAGAGTGAGTTTGTTTCCCACCTTGCTGATTATCATCAATGCCAGGGTAAGCAAATTGAAATATGAATGCCACCTGGCATCCGTATTGTTGGGCACGGCCTTGCCTTCATTCCCCAACAGGAAAAACTAAGCCCCTTTATCGCCTTCCTCCCTTCTTATATATGCCTCAATGTTATTTCATTTTGCTAACTCTCTTAGGAATAACTTTTAGATGATTTACTGCATTAAATGTGATATATACTGAGAGACTTCAATATTTCCATGGAGCAGCCTGTTTGAGATGGGAGATGGGAGGACGCCAGGTTCCCCACATATTATCACTACATGACACCAGGGTTCTTATGGCACAGTAGTAATATCTCTAGGAGACTCAGGTTCAGGTCCCATCTTTCCAGGGTGTGTATTAACATCACTGAACAGGTTGATTAGGAAAATACCTCACGACATGACACTTCCTCCTCACCTGGAGGTCAGCCTGATTGACAGGCTTAGCTCCCAGTTGGGCAGGGAGCATACGGAGATCACAGGAGCAGGTAGCGGATTTGGTGGGAATCGCTGGATTGTCTCTGGATACCCAAGCAGGATGGTGGGTCTTTGGACAGAACAGGGGAGTCCAATGGTGGAGGGGAAGGGAAGTTTTCCACAGGCAGGTATTCCTGCTTCTCTTGGCCCACAATCTGTGCTGAAAAAATGCTAAGCTATTCCTTCTGCACAGTCCACCCCTTACCCAAGCTGTCTTTGCCTATCTTTGATTTTCCAGGCCTAAGGAGACCCTGGAGCCAGTCAGCCAAGGTTAAACATATAGGACAGGCTGCACATGGTTCCCAGCTTCACTGTACTATTTTAGTGGACAACAGGCTGCTTGTAAACTTGGCAGGGGGCGTTCTAGAAGTAGGCTGGGGCCACATTTAACTTAGATGTTATATTTCACCCATTCTCAATATAGGAGGAATGATTAGTAAGTTTGCAGATGACACCAAAATTGGTGGTGTGGTGGGCAGTGAAGGTTATCTCAGAATACAATGGGACCTTAGGTCCATAAGCTGATGGCCCAATATGCTGAGGAGTGATAGATGAAGTACAATTTAGATAAATGTGAGGTGCTGTATTTTGGTAAGGCAGACCAGGGCAGGATTTACACAGTTAATGGTAGGGTCCTGGGAGTGTGCCAAACAGAGACCTTGGGGAGCAGGTTCACAGTTCCATGAAGGTAGAGTAACAGGTAGACAAGGTAGTGAAGAAAGCATTCATACACTTGCCCTCATTGGTCAGTGTAATGAGTGTAGGAGTTGGGAGGTCACGGTGCGGCTGTACTGGACATTGGTTAGGCCACTTTTGGAATACTGCATACAATTCTGGTCTCCTCGCTATAGGAAAGATGTTGTGAAACTTGAAAGGGTGCAGAAAAGATTTACAAGGATGTTGCCAAGTTTGGAGAGTTTGAGCTAGAGGGAGAGGCTGAACAGACTGGGGCTATTATCCGTGGAGCGTCGGAAGCTAAGGTGTGACCTTAGAGGTTTATAAAATCACAAGGGGCATGGATAGGGTAAATAGGCAAGCTCTTTTTCCTAAGATAGGGGAGTCCAAAAGTAGAGGACATATACTTAAGGTGAGAGGAGAAAGATTTAAAAGCGACCTAAGGGGCAAGGTTTTCAAGCAGAGGGTGGTGCATGTATGGAATGAGCTGCCAGAAGAATTGGTGGTGACTGGTACAATTACAGCATTTAAAAGGCACCTGGACAGCCACATGAATGGGAAGGGTTTAGAGGGAATAAAAACCAAAAGAATTGCGGGTGCTGTAAATCAGGAACAAAAACAGAAGTTGCTGGAACAGTTCAGCAGTTCTGGCAGCATCTGTGAAGAAAAAATCAGAGTTAATGTTTCGGGTCCAGTGACCCTTCCTCAGAACTGGACCTGAAACATAGTGATACTTTTCTTCACAGACGCTGCCAGACCTGCTGAGCTGTT